TCATTCTATATATATATATATATATATATATATATGGAAATTTGTTATTTTGTTTCATCATGCACAATGCAATGGAGGAAGAGTTTGATTAGATTCAAAGCATAAGTCACCGGCAATCAATAAACACACCTTTTCTTATCAATTTAAATTTTCTAGAATTCACATTTTATTTAATCATTTTTATTATGATTTTGAATAAACTAATATTTTAATATTTGCATTTGACAAGTTAAATATTGATTATATTTAACTAAAATTTATAATAAATTATATATACACATAAATATTATATTTAAATGTATAAATTATATTTGAAATTAGTATAAATAAATATTTTTAATCATATAAATTTTAATTTAGATTTAAAATAGATATTTTATATTGTGGTACAAGATTATTATTTTTAATTATTAATAACTTGTTTTAAAATATTAAAATTTAATTTATAAATAATTATGATAAATAAAAAATTGAATAGATAAGAAATTAAAAGAATTCTTAAAAATGTTCAAGTCAAATAATATCCCTTATAAATGTTCTCATATAAGATAATCATTGATGTTTAATACATATAGAGAGGTTAAAGATTGATTTAATCAATAAATAAATATGATAAATAAAAAATATAAATAAATATAATAAATAAAAAATGAAATAGATAAAAGGTTAAAAAAATTTCTTCAAACAAGAATAACACCTATAAAAATCCATTTTAAACAATAATTCTTCCTTCAAACTTTTTTATTGTACATTCTTATGTTTTTATTGAATCATGGTTTAGACGAGAGAAAATTTTTTTTTTTTTGATATAGAATGAAAAATGTTATTTGATATTTGAATCAAACGTGTAATCTAGCTATATTAATGGTAAAGGTCCTGCATCTATATGGTGTTTACATGTTTTATTTAACAATATAACTATCTTTAAATCACACATTTTCTCCTACAACTTAATGTTATTTTACTTTCATTTTTTTTATTTTGCACTAAAAAAAATTTTACTTTTCAAACTTCTCTCTTTGAATAGTAACTACACACTATTATTTTGATTATTTTATTTTTATTTAAAAACACATAAAGGTACAAAACATCTGTTATTAGGTCAAAAGATATAGTAAAAAAAACGATTTTAGATCCCGTAGGTTATAAGCTTTAATTATAACAAATTTAGATATTATTTTGTAAGAAAAAAATTTCAGATCATACACTATAAGATGAATAGTAATAAGACGATAAATTATTATGACATTAAGTTTCTTGAACGAAGCACTTCATTTGTAAGACAAAAAGCTTTATAATTATATAATTTATGATGTCTGATAATTGAATCATCGTTGTCTATGTTATTCCTTAATAGATCAAAAAGAATAAAAAAGTTTCTTCAATACTCACACTTCACAAATGAACATAACCATGCCTTGCATAAGAAATAGGGCTAACATATTCCTAAAAATATGCAAAAAGCTCAAAGAAAAGTTGTTTTTGACTGACACACGCATAGTTCACCTCTTTTGGTACCCAAATGATGATAAGTAATTTCCTTGACCATATAAGAAATGAGAATTTGGTAAAAACACATTTAATGCACCAACGGATACTTCTCTCTAAGGAATGAAGATGAAGATAGAGAAGCAAGCTTGTGAGAGACAATCAAGGATTTGTAACAGTCATCTTCAAAAAATGTTTATGTAAATAAGCTTGAAGACTCAAAAAGAAAAGAGACAATCATTGAGAAAAGATATATTCATTCTTTTTGTAAAAAGCTCTATACTTAATTGATTATATTATATATTGTAGTAAGACGAACAATATAATTATTTCCTAACTTTAACTTTGTTTTATTTCTTTGAGATTGGAGAAGCTTGACTGTATAAGAATGCTTAGTTGTTGAAACTTGGAGAGGCTTTATATTGAAAGAATACTAGGATAGTTGTTTGAAGAGACAACTGAAAGAACACTTAGGTTAAGTCAAAAGTTAATTGCGAAAGAATATTTATGTCTTTGTAAAAGATAGTGAAACTTAATCAAATTGATCAAGAAATAGACAAAGTCTCAGTGGTTAAGATGAACTAATAGAAAAATATGTTGGAGATTGTTGAAATGATGAAGATCATTGAGATGACAAGAAGACTTCTCAAGAAGTTTTAGTTTTAATGATATTGTATAAATGATGTTTGAGCCCCTGTAAAAGGATATTGTATTGAATGTTATAGATATAGGCTTGTGTGTGTGTTTGTTTATGTTTGATGCTGATTGCTTAATTCAAGAATCTGTCAAGCTTTTAAAATCCAAGAATTTATTTTTTTTAAATATTTCCATGAGTAAACATGAAGTAATAGATTATCTTGAAAAGGATAATTTACTACCAAGTGTTTAAACATAGAAATATTACTTGATTCAAATAAGAGTTTTCAAGGTAACTTTGTTAATCAAATTACCATTTAGGGTAATAGATTACCAAACCTGTCACTGTAAAAGGATATTCAAATGTTCTCTGTGTTAATAGATTACTAAGTCTGTTACTGAACCTATCTTTATAGAACTCTCTGAGGTAACAGATTACCAAAGTTGGTAATAGATTAAAATAGAGTATCTTTCTTGGAATCAAACTGAAAAAATGAAGTTATCATCGTGTTAGTCGATTACCAATATAGGTAATCGATTACCACAGAGTGATATGCAAATCTGAAACTTTTCAAGCTCGGGTTAATCGATTACCACCTGAGATAATCAATTTTCCTGGACAGTTTTCATGTTCTGGTTCAATTAAAAGAGTTGGTAACAGAGCATCTACACAGGTAGTAGATTACTATTGTTATTACTCTTGATAACTGAATCATGTCTTGCACTCTATAAAATTAATCTTTTTGAAATTTAAAAAGAGACCCAAGAGAACCTTTGAATTCTCAAGAAAAGAAATATTTTCATAAACAAGATTAAAGTGTTTTTACCAAAGAAATTTTCTGAAATTTCAAGAAGTGCAAAGATAGGACATCAATTCTTGAAAGAAGATTCAAGAACTGGACTCAAGAGTGAAAGATCAACATCTTCATAGAACTAGGTGATATTACTCTGATCTTTGAATCTGTATTGTCGTTTTTAATGTTGTATCTCTTGAGATAGGGTATCTCAATAAGAGATGGTGAAATCTTGAGAAGGGTTTCTCAAGTAATTTCTGTGGGATACAGAAATTTTGATTGTATTCAATCTTAGGGTGTCAAGATTGATGGTTGCTTTTCTTGTAATATTGTGTGTGCAAGGTGTTTGTAAACAATATTATAGTGAATGATCTTTGATTTGGTGAGGTGCTAAATCAAGGAAAACTAGATGTAGGCCAAGTGGGTGGCTGAACCAATATAAATTTCTGTGTTCTTTATCTTCTAACCCTTATCTTTAAAGAATCTTGTTGAATTCTTGTTTTAAAGATTTGGAAAAATGAAATTTCAAGTACAGTACCAACTCTAATTATCTTTATTCTTGTAATTGAATCTGATTAAAAAGAAGGTAATATAAAATCAACCTTGATTACAAGTGATTGATTCGCTGCTCTTACTTTGATATTCTACTACGTCAATAATAAACTTTGTAATCTACTGTTGTTTGTTACTCAAATTGCATAAAGGTTGTTTTTTTTTCTTGAGAGGTTAATTTTCAAGAATTGTGAAAAAGAGAGCAATCTTAGGATAGAATCTATTCAACCCCCATCCCCCTTCTAGATTCTAGTACACTGGGACCAATAATTGGTATCAAGAGCTTAAAATTTGAAAGTTAGTCAAGTTAGATCCATAAACTCCTAAGATGGTTGGTAACCAATTACCATTTGTTGAAGGTGTCTCTATAAACAAACCTCCTCTATTTTGTGGGGATAATTACCCATTTTGGAAAGTGAGAATAAAAATCTTTATGGAATCTGTTCATAGAAGCATATGGCAGGCTGTGGTTACTGAATACAAAATTCCTACTAAAACTGAAAATAAAAAAGAAATAAAGAAACTGTTTGATAGTTGGGATCAAGGCGAGATTAAAAGAGCTAAGAATGATGCAAAGACACTGAACATTATACATTCTACATTAAACTCTCATGAATTTTTTAGAATTTTAGCTTGTATAACAGCAAAAGACGCGTGGGACTTAATTCAAGTGACACATATCTTATGTTTGGATTCAGGAGTGCAAGACTACAATATTTAGACACAAAAAAACTTCACATGTGAGGTGTTTTTGTCAAAATAATAAATATGTCTATATAACACCATATGTTTTTCTTTTTTGGGACTATATAACACCATTTATTTCTTAATAATCATGCACAATCCAAATGCATCACGGTGCAGTTTAACTCGCATACGAATTAGGTGTGATCAGCCAGTTTAACTCGCATACGTAAATTTTTATTTATTTATTTATTTATTTTGGTTAGAATTCAGCCAAAACTAGAGAGTGCGCTGAGACTTGAATTCATATAACTAAGAACTAAATATTAGTATTGATCCTTTTGGACTTAGCTGCTTCATTTATGTTCTTGTTAACTGGGTGTGTTTATGAGAATGAGAGATATGAATCTAATTCAATTTTGCAAGATCAGTTTATAAGATGAAAATTTATTTCCACTTATATACTCTTTAATTATTTTATTTTTAATCTACGTAGAACTTCAATTTTTTTCAATATATTTCTTCAACATTCAACACTATTAAACTCTATATTTGAATAAATGATAGATGTCACGTTACTATCATCCACTAAAAACAATTGCAATTACTCTGGCCTGCTGTGTGCTGGACCATGTTATGCTTTGAGGACCGCACCAGAGTAATTAACTCGTAATACTGTGATATATAAATTGAAAACTTAAGGTACATATGTGACGTCTTAGTGATGCACTTTCGTAGTAATCACAATTTGCAATCGTTAGTGAATTAAACTAACTATCCTCCAATTGTGATTATTTGTTTACATATGGAGATATGGGATTTTAATTTAATAAAACATAAGGAATGAGCCTTAAATTAAAATGTAAGCACTAAGTAATGTATAGATATCATTGGGTTAAAACCCACTTTAGAGTTGTGATAATGATAATATAAAATTGCAGCTGCAGAATAATAAAATATAAGGAGAAAGGGATGACACGCGGGATGCAGAGGTCAACCAGCACCCCAACACTTAAAAAGAAAATGAAAAAATAAAGTATGTGAAAGGATTTTTATTTTTATTTTCTTGATTATAACATAGGAAAACACTTAGCATACATCTATTTTATTTGCATGAACATAATTGATCATGTGTTAGCTAGAAAAAAATAAATAATTTTATTAAACACGGACTTGCGATAATTTGTTTTAAGATCTACTAATTATATTTGATAAAAATGATTCTTTTTCTCCTCAACATGATCATATCATATTAGTGGATAAAAGAGGATCCAAACCTTTATACGAAATAAAAGGAAATGAAATTGACCACCTTAAAATGAGTAGAAGTAGAATAAGCAATTTCAATTGCTGATGAAAAAATTTACTTAATATTCATTTTTTTTGTGTGTATAATAGTCACACTTTTAAGACTTTATGCATACCATTTAATCTTCCACCATATATTTCAATACAATCAAGATTTTCTTTGTATATAAACATATATATTTATTTATTTATTGAGATTACTTATTTTATTTTTGGGTTACTCGTATTAAAGGACTCTATGATATATACAGGACACTTCTCCACCACGAGTCTCTACTCTCCATCAAGAATTGTTTGAAGTTGGTTGTTCTAGTCCTGCCTAAACCACAAAAGTAGTTGTTATTTCCATAAGGATACAAAAATATATATAATGCTAATCATGATTCTTGGCCCACCAATAACCTTCAACTAACTATTTTCGAGTCTTGCCACCCCATTTTAGAGTCTTCCCACTTAATCTTATTTTGGTCCACAAACATAATCAGACAACTATCATATGCGGCACAAAGCCATTACAATATGTCAATATCTTAATGGACAAGAAGGTTCGAAGAGACTTCAGCTTTGTTCTTTTACATCTATTATTTGAAGGCTCAGCAATGAGTATTTGGTGAAGAACCATCTTCGATATTATAAAAAGTTAATAGTAAAAGTACTCTATATCTTTTGTTCTTCTTTACAGTGTAGAAGATATAACTCCACTTTGCTGTTGCTTTACACAAGAACCTGTTCCTCACAACATGCAATTAAGCCAATTTATCTAAGAATTTGCTTGGATACAAGTATAGAAGAGTTTCTCAGAGCTTCTCTACTAAAAATAAATAAATTTTTTTCATTGAAAAACTTCTCAAAAGCTTTTTTAAATTTGTATCCAAACAAACTCTTAATAATGTTTAACGAGAAACAATTGAGGAAGGCATGCGCACAGTTCTTTGTGTTAATTTGTGTACAGAATTATCAGGCCCTCTCCTTCGAGTAAATTACATTTGGCATTGACTTGTGATGGAGGAAAGAGTATAAATAGAGGAGGCACGTGTTAGCTAAGCTAAGATCATGTGCTGCTGAATGGTTCATCTTGCGATTCCAAACACTCCTGAGGATTGGAATAAAAGTAGTCTTCTTCTTTGGGTCTGTCAGGGATGACAACTCTACTTTTGGGACTTCCCATCCTATTGGCATGAGTTTTCTTCACCATAATGGAAAACTCATCCCAGCTTAATGACCCTTTGGCGTATTGGTCAATGAGGCGCACCAAATGCTTTCTATCAAGTAATATAGTCTTTTTGAAGCCTAAAAATCTGAACAGCATGAACCATGATGTTAGTAAAAAGAGAAGAGAATTAATAGTAAGAGTACTTGGTATCAGGCAATCTAAATATGATAGTTTTGGCATCAGCAGCAAAAATTAAAAAGAGAAAGCAGCTTGGTTTGCAAGTGCTCTCAATGACTCAGATAGTGTTGCATGGAGAGTATAATGTTTATTAAGTTGTTCAATCAATCATGATTCATGAATTCCTTATGTGATCCAATGGCATTTGCCAAAAGGTGAAAAAAATGCCATAAAAAATTCCATTATATACTTGGGAGCACAAATGAAATCAACAGATCTAGACACACTATTATAATGCTTGAGGTCACTGAGAAGATGACTCGTAAAAATCTAGCATTATAGTAAGTAATACCTTCTATGGCCTTCAACAACTTTAGCCATGTTCCCATCATATGTTGGAACGAATATATCACTCTCTAGAGACACAAGGTAATCCAGTGCAGCCATTTGTGATGAGTGGTTTTGAAAATACATCAAATCTGAAGGTTCCAGCAGAGTTTCCTTCCTCACCTGTTGGTAGTCAATGGTTCAAATTCACAGATATACATATGAAAATATGATTCTGCCAATTTCTACTTACAAGATTAGGAAAAGCTGCTTGTAAACTTGCCATCCTTCTCTCTCCACCATATATTTCTCCAGCAGCAATGTAAATTTGAATACTTTGATCAATGCCTAAAGCTGTCAGTATTAGTGTAGTTTCCTCAGGTGTCAAAGGGCATAGACCATCTTGCCTCTTGAGCTCAGAATTAATGACTTTTTCCTTCCACCAGGGATAAGCATATCTTAAAAATACAATTTTACAAAATTATATTCAAAGGGTAACTTCAGAACCAAAAATTGACACTAAAAAACACATTAGTTCATGATTTAGCATACCTCATTCTTGTGAGTTCCTCCACCTCCCTGTGGTCACAACCATGAGTACATCCGGAGAAGGCCAACATGTCCATCTCATATCTAAGATGAAGCACAAGGAAGGGTCCCTTTTCCCTCAAAATTCTGACTATCTTTCTACCGAGTTCCTCTATTTGGGAAGTAAACCTCAGAGCATTAAAATTCACTCGGCATCGCAGCCTTTGAATCTTCAGAGGTAGTCCATTATTCGCAAGTCGAGCGTCGGTTCTATTTAGGTGCACAACCTTGTGTTTCAGTAAAAGAGGAAGGATCTGTGATAAGCAAGTAGGAAAATTAGTTGTATTTGTCTAATACCATCTTAAATTCTGGAGTTTGAGTTTAACTCAAATTTACAAAACTAACATGTAAGGTGGATTTCTCCTCTCTTATATACACTATATTGATCGTACTATTAGTTGATATGAGATCTCCGATTGTATTCAAGTAACCAAAAACAATGATAAAGAAAAGAAACCATATTAACTGAGTAAAGACCTGTTTTTCATAGTATGAAATATCAGACCAGCTAACTGGTGGCAATGAGTAGTATAATCCTAGTTCAACTCTTCTCTTGAGCCTAGGTGGTAGTTGCTTTAATATTCTCACTTCATCTCTTAAGGATCCAATGAAATTATCTACATCAAATATGTCTTGGAATTCACTGCCAATTCAAGGGAACAGATATAAGCACAACATTTCAATTATGAAAAATCAGGATGATAATCACTTGAGAAATTCTTCCTGAACTAAAATCTTGGATTCTTGATATAGCAGTAGTAAAAGTGCAAACCTAGGATCGGCCCAGAAAGATGTTTTATCCAGCTCTGGAACTATAAGAGTAACATTTAAATGTCTTGCAATAGCAACCATGTCACATATCTGCAGTAGAGAAAACAAAATTTAGAAAGACAGATCAGACTTTGAATGTTAATTTAATGCCTGCATAAATGTAACAAAGCACTGGCCACTCACTGCTGCTCTCATTTGGTTGAGTCCTCCATTGCATGAAACCATAAGATAACCATTATTCTTATGGATCCCTGATGAAAAAAAAGAATCATCAAATTCAGCCCTCACTCATAAGTAGTCAAAAAATTCTTCAGCAAATATATATATATATA